CCTATAACGGCTAATGTGTAAAGGAAAGTGATTTATAACCAAAATAATGAGAAATTTCATCTCAAGCAATATTTAGGGTAAATTATAACTTATCATTTTGCTAATCAAGACAACGTTCACAACTATTTTGCTGAAGGTATTTAACGAGTTGAGGTCCAATAACCGAGAATAATACTTATTTCGCACAAGTACTTATTTTTATCTATCAAAGCGTCCAAAATATTTCACCCAGGAGTAAGTTTCATTGTTCGTTGTATTTTCATTTCACAGTTGAATTCTTAGAGTTGAATTCTTCTTTTTCCCACATCCAACAACGCGTTAGCCGATTAGAGATCTGTTGCAAATCCTACTGATCAAAATTATAGTTATATTTCACAAACTCCGTTCGAAATATATGAGAAAATAACAGGAATATTTCCATTTACTGTGCTTCGGACCACTCTTTAACGCATAAAAATGAAATAACAATTAAGTATGACGTAATCCCAGCTTCCCCCGCGACACCAGAGTCGCGGCTACTAAGCATAGCCAATTCTTTCCTTTGTGCTTCGCGACCATAGGTAAGTGATAGAAAGTAAGTGATAGAAAGCCGACTTTTCACACAAAATCAGCATAGAGACCATAGCGAAAGCGTTCAAGATGATTCACTGTCCATTATGGCAGAACATCAACCCCAACGGAAGTCGCCTTAGGGCAAACGGTGGAGGCCTTAGGGCCAACGGTAGAGGCTTTAAAGCCAACGGTAGAGGCTTTAAAGCCAACGGTAGAAGCCTCAGGGCAAGCAACAACAGATCATGACAAGTCATCGGAGAACGCAAAAGTCACTCAAGGCATGTATGGCCCTGAGTCCACACTGCCTTCGTGGGAACCTAGCCCAGGCTTAGCCGYGTTTCTCGAAAAACAGTTKAGAAATAAATTGAATAAAGATCAAATCGCTGATATTACTGACAACTTAAGTGTTCCATCTACTGATTGCCTTGTCACGCCTAAGCTTGATCAATCAGTTTTGCATCAAATACAAAATCAACAGCTAAGAAAGATTGCACAAGCTCGAGACAGGGACTTGATCTCTGTCCAAAGTACACTCTTAGCAGCCAYTGGGCCACTTTGTTGTTTACATGACACGCTCACTTCAGGAGAAAAATTATCGGTTAGTTAGTAGCATATACATGGGACGTTGCCAAGGTAACAAAGTATTTTGTTTCTTTTGGAGTCAATCGCAACCTCTCCTTAAAACAGCTAACTTTAAAGTTAGCAATGCTATTCGCTCTAACCTGCCCAGAAYGGGTCTCATCTTTAACTAAGCTGGACCTCAGGTATTGTCAACTTCTACCCGAAGGCGTACTATAATTCACTTTAATATCACCACGTAAACGAGGGTCTTCACTTGAATCCGCCAAAGCTTTCTTTGCAAGCTTTATTTCAAACTCTAAGCTTTGTCCTAAAACTACATTCAAGCATTACTTGCAAAGAACCAGGTCACTTCGCTTGAATTCTACCAATTCTCAAGGAGATCGTCTGTTCTTATCATACGTGAAACCACACCATCCCATCTCTACAGCTACTCTGAGCCGCTGGCTAAGAGTATCAATTAAAGATGCAGGAATCAACACTGAGATTTTCAAAGCTCATTCAGTTAGAGGAGCATCCTCAACAGCTGCAGCCAATAACAATGTCCCGTTAAATGACATCCTTAAGATGGCTGACTGGTCCACTCCTAATACTTTTCAGAAGTTTTATTATAGACCTTTATTCAAAACAAATTATGGACAAGCGGTTTTGTCAACATAATTATATGTTACATGTTTCTTTTATGAAATAAAGTTATTGACATCTCCCTCATGAGTGATTAATAACTTGGCGTTAAAATCTTCCTGTTATTTTCTCATATATTTCGAACGGAGTTTGTGAAATATAATCCCAATTATACCAGGGCCGCGAAGCGGCCTGAAAGTAAAATTGAAATTATATTAACAAACGTAGTSAGAAATATATGAGAATCCCTCCCTCCCATGGGTTTTCCCCCTCATATATTTCTCACTATGTTAGCTTCACACAGGCGTTCAAGAATGGCTATGCTTAGTAGCCGCGCCTCTGGTGTCGCGGGGGAAGCTGGGATTACGTCATACTTAATTGTTTTTGCATTTTTATGCGTTAAAGAGTAGTCCGAAGCACAGTAAATGGAAATATTCCTGTTATTTTCTCATATATTTCTCACTACGTTTGTTAATATAATTTCAATTATATTTTCAGGCCGCTTCGCGGCCCTGGTATAATTGGGATTATTGCAATAGATCAGAGGAACATGACGAGTTGGCCATGGGTAACCCTTCACGGTTTTG